CTGTTTGTAGGTCATCACCTGGATCTATCTATTCACTTGATAGGACCCTGATTGATACGGGCCCTGCATTCGGGCTTAGCTGGTGGTCACGCCTAGTCTAACGAGTGGACAGATAAGAACACATGGCTAAGACTGTAGCGCAGTCTTTCCATCGGCCGAGTTGGGAGCCACTGATAAGCATCCCCAACCATCACGCGATGGCTAGGCAGTAACCCCGGGGAATAATGCTTTGCCCGATGACACCGTCTACAGACTTTAGCAGGCTCGGCAGTGTCTATCTCGTCCATCCGCGCAGACCGCGCAGACTGACTCGAAACTGCACCCCCGCCACCCAGAAGCACTTGCATCCAGTGTGGTGTCAGAATCTAGTGCAGGTGTCTGCGGCAGCTTCTCCGAGGAGCCAGCGTCATGTAGCGGCACCAGACGCATGGTCCATCGGCCGCATATGCCGCGCCAAAGGTTCTTTCCATCTTCGGCCTTCTCTGATTGTTCTCTGAATAGGAATGCTAGCAGCTTATCTCGCTCACCATCTTTGCGCACTTGCGTCACATTCCGTGTTGCAGAGGCACCAATGAGGAGGGAATCTTTGTCGTCTGACGGGGGTGCTCTCGTCTTGGCCCGCCCACTGTGATGAGGTTGTCCGCGATCTCGCACCTGTCCCCGAGATCTCCCCCTCTTTCTTTAGACTGTTTCGTAACCTCCCATCGAGGCAACGATGGGCATGAGGGAAGAGAAATTTTGACCTTGGGCTGTTGATCCCCCAGGCTGCTCTGTAGGCGAGATCTGATAGATGAGAAGCCAACCAACCAACCATGCATGCCTACGTAGTGTGAAGTCGTCGCCAATATCGTCCAATCTCCTCTCCCTCCGTCCCCTCCGGAACGGCCACAGAGGGCAGCTGGCATCCTGCACCACGCCGCAACAGGCGACGCCCTTATCAGGACGCCCTCATTCGCCCTTCCCTTGGGACCCAATGGGCTGCTGAGTCGCCGACGGTGAGGTCACCCAGCGTGGACCAGCGTAGCGTCAGCGACCCAAAAACGCGGGGTGACGAACCCCACCCCTCCCTCATCAACACTTGGGCTGCTGCCTTGGTTCGGCTTCCCTGAATCAAGATACAATACGTAGGTAGCAGGTACGATACGCGACCTGTACGTTGCGTCGCACGTTCGGGTCCTCGCGATCCGCAATGATGGAATGGGATGCGACCGCAGTAATAACAGGGATCCTGACTCTCACCAAAACGTTGGCGGCGGGCAAAAGCTTTGGTATGCTCCCATTCACAAACCGCCCGCCCCGGGTGCCACCATTCCAGTACATTTTCACTGCTTGGCATCTGGCGTCAACATCATCTCCATTTAGCCTGCCCATATCAGCTGAGCAATAATCAATCTGCTCCTCAGAGCTTGGCCTCCATTCGAGCTGCTAGCGCATACTGAAACAAAGCCAACTGATCAAGACTATATTGATGATGGCGTCGACTTAATTGCCCTATGCAAGCTAAAGCAGAGGGCATGGGTTTAAGTTTCGAGGCACGGATACGGCTTGACGGCCTTGTGACTAGGCGCATGTACATGTACCTAAAAATGATGCTCGTCATATGTAGCCTCCCACATACGCGACGTGGCCCCCGTGAGCCAGTCCTTTTTCTCGCCCCTTATTAGCGCTTGTCGTTATCTAAGGTTTTTCAATATTGTCGCGGTTTGCGTCGAGGTATGTAAACTCATACCCTTGGGCCTCGACGCAGCGTATAGTTGCTTTTTTCTTTTTCTTTTTACCCTCAATGTCTTGGTTCAGCCCCCTTCGTGCCACTATCAACGCCCCCTTCCCTTGTCAGCTGCCCTTGGCAAATGCTTATTTGTATCATCAACTGGCACCCGGCTGTGTGGCACACTGACCCTGCTGTCAGTGTCTGGACCCTGTGTTCACCTTCAGCTGAGACATCTTGGCGGCAGCCCGCCGGGCGAGGCGAGACTCAAGGGAGAGTCTAGGCCTGTGCTTGAGTGCAAATAGCACTGATCTAGAATAGGGGACAAGACATGTTGAAACATTGGACGCACAATTATTGAGTGCGTCGGTGGATTGAGTCACCTGGAAGATAGCTGTTCGTGGCGGGGATTTGGTGGATGAGCAAGAGTCTTTTCCACCTGGGCTTGAATTTGTAGCACACTGTCCACTCCATCTTTCAAGGATCACACAGGGCTAAAATTGGTGAGTAATTAGAGAGAGAAAAAATCGATTTCGGTTAATATTCTACCATGTTGCCAACCAACAGCTCGGATTCTGGTACGCTGGTGTTGGTCCGCGGATGAGCTCTCATGCCAATTGTTCAATCCATTGGCCATTTCATCGATACATATGACCCATTATTAAAAACCCATGGCTGCGGTCTTTAATAATTGACACGAATCATGTTTCCTTCCCCTCCTCAAATGGAGAATTGAGGGAGTGTTCATCGTCCTGTGTGATCGAGACCCCGGAAGCGCTCTCCACGCTTATCTTGGGGCGATCCGGCGAGAGAAATCGCAATCTGGCCCTGCAAATTGACCCATTTCATCTCAAAGACGAGGAGAAAACATGGATGGGGTGCTTCCCTGAACTTCGGACCTTCATATCACATCTTGACAACGAGACCGAGGCAACATGGGGTAAGCCGGTAAGCGAGGCCAGTCAGCTGCAGACGTGAGGGGCTGCTGCTGTTGGCACCGGTTCTACTTTTCCCAACGTGCCAACGTGTAAATACCAAGATTTTGGGCGCATTTGTCATACGATGGTTGCTTGCGATCTGCGTGGGTGCAAACCCATTTTTCTACAACCTCCCAACGAAGGTTGCGGCGCGTTGCGCGTTTGAGAAAAGCACTTTGGGAGCGGCGTCATTTAACCGTACCCAGACGCGTGGAGGTGCTCGTGCTCGTGCTTTAGAAAGGAGGATTCACCCTTCACCCTGGAACAGAGGAAGCGGCAGCTTCGGGTCGTCTAAGCCTCGATGGAAGGTTTCTGTGTCCAGCCGCGTGTCGAGACGATTGTTCCCGATGCTGCGGGTGCATGTATCATGTATGCATATGCATCTCAAGGGAACACTCGTTTCAAATCAACGACATATGTTACCTGAAGCAGACCTGCCTCATACAAATTGACGTCTCCGCCAAAAAAAAAATGCAACGGGGAAAATGATACTCGATCCGTCGTCGACAGTCAGGCGATTCATACCAAGAAGTCGATAATTCCCTGTTTGGTCAGCTCGAAGCCATGCATGAGCCCTACCATGGCAAGGGCATGGGTAAAACGCTCTTCTGGGGAATTCTGCTTGGGATGATCCTGGTTCAGTAAGCTGCAAGCATCTCTATTAAGTCAGCATTGGCTCTGGTCAACTGCATTCTCTCCACCCTGATCGGTCAAACCATGATGCTGTCCACTCTGAAGTGTTGACACAGAACTGGAGAGTGATTGACCTTCTCGATGGATTCGCGACTAGCCTAGCGAGAGCCTCCTGCAGGTGCCGACTGGGAATGCGCATCTATTTGACGGTGGCGAGAGAAATGTCTCGATCGAGAAAGCCAATTGTCCCCCTGCCTCATCCTGCTCGCCGCTCGCGTGTCAGTCCAGGGTCTGGCCATACGACTTGTAATGAGGGACAACTGGAATCGCTGAAAAAACCGTACGCCTTCACCGACCACATGCCCCATACGCGAGCGAGGCTGCAGAGACGAACGACTGTATTGTGATTGTGATGTTCGGTACTGACCAACACTTCATCTCGCAGGCTGAGCTACGACCAACTGATACTAGCTGGACATGCGCTAGGCCTTAGTGTGGCCCAGCAGTTCATGGATCAATGGCAGCAGCCAGACTCAGCCGCCTCCAATGCGACTGCCACCTTGTTGCATGCATGTGCTGTCGTAGATCTCTTCGATTCTTCTTCTCCAAGGCATGGCAGGCTTGCTCGATGCGACTCAACCCACGGCTCCCTGCGCATCTTTATCGTACTCATCATACAGACCCAGCACCATACTACGTACACAGCACCATACCCATACACAGCATGTAATAATACTTCGTGGGTGTGCATCACGGCCGTAAGCTATACTAAGTCAGCCAACAAAGTAAGCACCAACGACCGCACAATCTGACTTTTACTCCACCAGGCCCCTGCCCCATCCCGACCCCCTTGGACGATGAGAACGGTCTGTCTGCATTGTCGCTCGAAGGATTCATCCATCTCTTTCGGTGGCAGCATCGCCGTAGGGCGTCCGTCCAGCCAATCACCCGCCGGCATGTGAGGCCTCACCAGCATGAACGTGCGCCCACTCGCACGTTTCTCCCCCTGCTATTTTCGTCCCAAGAAGCTGCTGGGCCTTCTTCTTCTTCCTTGCCTTGTGCGGCGTATATAGCACATCCCCAGGCGGTTTTGACGTGCTTTGTTCCAGGGTTTCCCCTTCCTCTCGCCCTCTCACACGGCTTAATGCTTAATTAACTCTGCCTGCTCTCTGCTGCAACCCATCCCCCTCCTCTCCTCCCCTCCTCTTTTCCCTCCTGACCGACGGTGTGTATTGATTGGTGATTGGAAATCGGTTGTTGGCACCGACTTAATTCGACTTGAGCTCTTTAACCCACTGCACCGTCTCAACAACGGCATTCACTCCCTTGAAAACTTGTGCTCACACATTCTCTCTCTTTTTTACAACCCAAGGAAACAACCGGCTCGACGGATAATATTTGGAAGTCTTTGGGGTTGCTGCATCTCGTTTCTTTTTCGACTTACAGATTTACGCCACTTTGTTCTCTCGTCAGCCTGCCGCCGGCTAGACTCTTTTAATACACGGCAATATAATACGAATTACTTTTTGTGTGGGTTGGGAAGCGACTATCGAATCTGCGCATTTATCTGCTGGGACGACAACGGAAGGGAATCAAAAGAGAAGCAAGAGAAGGAAAACGAAACCCAGGAAAAAGGAAGACCGGACCACGACCGAGTGAAATCGCGATTGGGGCATGAGACAATGCATCTCGAGCAGAAGCGGCTAATGCTTCAGCTTCCGACCGTCCTCCTCCCCCTCCTCTTCTCCTCCCTCCTCCCCTCTTCCACCTCGGCCGCAAACACATACAACCTCCCATCATGCTATGTAAGTTACCTATTCGTCTCACAAAAGAAAAGCCTCCCGAACCTCATATTATCTATCTGTGCGACCACACGGACCCGTCCCCGCTGACCAACCAAATTCACAGCTCGAGTGCGGTAGAAACCTCACCGGCAGCCTCGCCTGCGACCTCAGCACCGGCACCGACTGCGACTGCACCTCGAGCTCGTTCCTCGACGCCCTCGGCTGCTGCATCGTCGAGAACTGCTGGACCAGCCACCGCACCGCCCAGTTCCGCATCCCCTGCCAGGATGGCTACGTCGACGCCTCGTGCCCTGCCAACGTCGACGTCGAGAACTCGTCCACGGGGCCCGCGACGGGGACGGCCACCAAGATGAGCATCCAGGCCCTCGACATCGTCACTTCCACCACCCTAAGCACCGTCACCAGCTCGTCACAGGCCAGCACCGTCAAGGTCCAGACCAATACCAACACCGCGACGGGGGCCACCGCGACCGCCGACTCCTCCAACAGCGGCTCCGACGACAAGTCGGGCGTCATCGGCCTCGGCGTCGGTCTCGGCCTGGGCATCCCCGCCCTCCTCCTCGCCATCTTCCTCGTGGCCTACTACTACCGCAAGACCAAGAAGGCAGAGCTCGAGTCGGAGCGCAGCAGCCGCTCGCGCACCCGCGTCGGGGGAACCAAGTCCGGGCGGCCCTCGTCCCCCAGCACGCTCGTCGGCTCGGCCGCCCAGCCCGCGACGGAGAAGGGCGGTAGCGTCACGCACCGCAAGAATAGCGTCAATGCTAGATCGGCCCGCGCGGGCCGAGACACGGCGCTCATGAGCGAGCTCCCCGGGTGAGACACGGCGGTTGATTCAATTAATTCCCCTACATATATTTGCTTATTGATTTGCTTTTTCTCTGGGAGAGCCCGCCATAATTGCGAATTGGGTGGTGTTGGCGGCGTAGAAAATAGGATTGGAGAAAGGGACTCGCTGAAATCATGAACCCCGTCGATGGGCGAGTTTGCAAGTTTTTTCGTTGTATATATTACATATATCCGCTATATTGTTTACATAGCAATGCTGTCATGCCGTTGTCGGAAATAGGATAGGGAAATGAAACGCATTGCCGTTGAATCTGAGAGCCGCGTTAAAAGCATGGAAACTTGGTAGTCAACTTGTTTGCAAATACTTCGAGCTCCTATTCAATTACACACTATCTGGTGCTGGCCTGTCCGAGAGCTCTTCGTGTTCAGGAACGGCTAGGAATGCCGTCTCAAGATGGAGTTCGAATCTCAATGTTCTCACTCACAGAATAGCCTTGAAATGATGTGAATATGTATGTATTGTTTCATGTCGTCTCCCAATTATTTTTGCTGTGGAAGAGTATGTAAATCACTAGTACTACAATGAAATAATTAAACGAAATGTATAGGAAGGAGGTTTCCCAGGAAGGGCTGTTGTGACCCATGAAACATCATATGCACAGAGGGCAATATCCAACATAGGAACCCTCATATCCTCGTATGTACCCGCCCAGCCCAGCCCAGCCCAGTCCATTTGACGCCGTGCACCCAACCCAACAGTATCCGGCCCGAAAGGTCTTGTGACCCGCACCCGAACTCGCATGGGCATCTAAACGCTTTGAAAGTGAAATAACGAAAGTAAGCCGCCGCCAGAGGAGAGAGGGACCACTCCCCCTCGCCCTCCTTTTGTCCTCTTGTTTGATAATACTCTAACCCGTTTTGATTCGACCTGGACCCCAGTTAAGCCTCTTCGCAGCTATCAGCTTCGAGCTGTTGTCCTCATCCTCGTCATAGAAATCCTCGTCGTCATCGTCCAAGTCTTCCTGTTGGTCCTGCATATGGTCGTGTTGCTGGTAAAATTGCTGATGTGGAATATGACTACTCTCGCGATGACCCATGCGGTGCGTCAAAGCACTGAGTTTATCCTTGATGATAGTAGCTCCGCTCTTCTTTCGCTCTGTAGTGCTATTGCTAGCGCTAGTACGTGGCCTCTCGGTTGGGTCACGTCCTCTCGTATTCGTGCGACGAGGTGGTGAGTTTGTAGGTCCGCCAGTGTTCCTTCTTAGGATGTCTATTCCAAAGCTATGAGGTCCCTCACTTGGACCATCAGTTGGCGTTGGTGGAGTCATTGTCAGGAAGGTCGGGACTGGGATCCCAGACTTGGTCTTCAGAGATCTGGCGCTAACAACACTACTGCTTCGACTTGGCGAACGTGGTTGACTCAGGCCTTCATAGGTGCTGCCGTGAGTGCTTCCATGTGTGCTGCCGCGAAGGGATCGCGGTGGTGATCGAGAAAAGTCAACTGGCGACTGCCCATACATGCTGGACGAATCATCACTGTCGTTGAGACTCCTGGCGTAGTGTTGAGAGGCCGAGGACGAGGAGGGAGCAATAAGAACAGAGCTATTCGCCAGCTCACGCAACTTGTGACGCTGCTCTGCGTTTGGCCGATGTTTTGAGAACTTATTCCCGATGATGGCGCCCGTGTGGGAGATCAATGCTCTCACAACAGCTCTCTTGACGGCAAGGGCTAGGTCGAGGTTGGACCATGTCTTATTTTGCCATTCAATTGTTGGCATGGTAAACACAAAGTCGTGTACATCCTCAAAATTGCGCTGGTCCTTGCCCTTGTAGCTTAAACAGAGCACCACAGATGGCATTCGAATGTAGGCAAACGTCATGTAGTTGCTCGCACGGGAGATCATCTTTGTCAGATCATCTGAGTGAGGCTGCCTGTCATCACCTGCGCCTCGTACTCGAAGGCCAAATCGCTTCTTAGCATCGCCATTTGAACTCGTTGCCTGGCTGGACGCCGTCATGCTTCGGCTGATAGAAGGCCCGCCTTTAGGAGCAAGGCTCGGTCGAAGCGAATCGTAGGATGCCTTCTTGTGTATGGATTTCGCCCCACCACCCCGGAAAAGGCGTAAGCCGTGACCCTCGCCAGTATTTATCGTCAAGGCCTTCTTAGTGTGGCGCTCTGGCGTATTTGAGCTCAGCGTTGGTCGGAGCCGGAGTTCTAGAGAGCCCGCACGAGTTGAGAATCCAGAGGAGTCCTTGTCGCCAGTGGGGGTGCTATATTGACTGTTTGAGCCGCCGAATGAGTCGTCATCGTCTTCAACAGGTTCTGCTAGATGCTGCTTGAACAGATTATGGGCGTCTGTCTTCGAACCCGTGGCCCTGTCCTCGTCCATACCGGGGAAGATGTATTCGAAAAGCCTCTTGCCAACCTCGCGCTCCAGCTGGATCTTCATGGGAAAAAGGTCGACCTCGAAGCTATCCATCACGGGAATGCCCGCGATAGCTTCCAGCATATACCAGTATACCCTGATCATCTCATTTCGGGGATGCTCGTGGCCATTGACCTTCTCGTTAGTATGGTACGGAGCAATTATCTCCGGGTACGATGCATCTGGAAGGAGGTTCAGGCCAAGAATTCTTCCGACCCGGAAAAGATTCATGTGGGAGCCATCCGAGTTGTCTGTCCGATCATACTCCAAGTCTTTCAGCTGCAGTTCGACAAGCGGGACATTAGAATCTTGTATTAGATGCCAGACGACATCGCGAACTGAAATACTCCACTTCAAGAGTGCATTGGTGTTCTCGTTTGCATTGAATTTTCGTTGAGAACTTGTGATGGCTTTCATGACGAAGAAGAGTTCATCCTCGCACGCTGCCAGATCTCTCTCCAGGGCCAAACGGTCTTCCCATCCTCTCTCGTCCAAGTACTTGGCGTAGGTCTGGAAATGTGACTTGATTTCCTCCATTTGTCTGATACGCTCTTGAAGCTGCTCAATCTTCTCGGGGGCACCGCTGAGGTCGCTGAAATCGGAAGCAAGCATGATCTTCTCTAGTCGCTCGCTTCTTGTTTTCTCAAGTGGCTCACTGTACATCAACAGATCTAGGACAATGACATACAACGCATAGTACTGTGATGAGTTACAGAGTGCTCGGGCCTGAGGAAACTCGACCCATAGATTGTCAGTGCGACTCTCGGTCACCTCCTTTGACTCCGAATCGGCCCCATCGGCATTCACTTCATCGTTGAACTTCAGACGAAGAGTGTTGAACTTATCATATCTCAACATAGCTGAGGTCTTCTCCACTACCCGCTTGAAGCCGAAGGGGTCGGTATGGAAGTCAAACATGACTTCCATGGGGACCCATGGAGGCCATGCGGAGCCAATAGTCGTGCCGTATCTGCTGCCTGCGTACATGGACACCAAATTCGTCACGAACCATTTGTGGTGCGTGACGAAGAATTGGGTGCTGTCCATGTTGACAAGGAAACGCCTCTGAACCAGTCCACTCACGGTATCGGATATTCTCTCCTTGTCCATAACCTCGACAACCTTGAGCTCCATTCCCTTGGAAGTGATGAGGACCACGTGCTTCTTGTTCTTCTCGCTCTGCAACTGTATCTGAGGGGCAATGAGACGAACATGGTAGCTGCTTTGAGGGATAAACTCTTCGGAAATTCCGAAGCCCAGATCTTCGATTGTCCCGCTGATACTCCCGTCCGAGTTGTTACTGAACCCGGCACTCTGGAACTTGCCGCCCTCCCCCAAGATGTTTTTGATGCGATCCTCAATGTCCTCCTGGGGTGTTTCTTTATCCATCGGCTTTGAGCCGGGCGTTGGCGAGGGATTTGATTTTGCGGGTTTCGACTCCCTAGCCTTGCTTTGTTCCTCAACAATGTCCAGAATGAATTTTACAGCAGGGCGGGAGAGGTAGTAAATAAGTCCTCGACGCTGACTGTTCTGGTGAATATAGCGCAAGACAATGTTCCTTAGCTCGTTGTTCCATTTCAACTGCATATTGTGCAATATAAAACGATTGTTGAACTCGCTCTCAAATTCAGCAGTGTTGGGGATGTTCATCTCCTCATCAATCTTATGCAGCTTAGATTGCGTCGTGCCTCTAGAAGAGGACCGTTTATGACTCTTCTGGCTTTGGTGACTCTTGTAGCTTCGTCGGGACTTGATTGAGGCTGCCCCTTTCTTCTCAGATACCTGGTCTAGCATCCCCCTAAGGAATGCCTCTTTCTCTTGCAAAACACCACCATGTTTTCGGAGAGTATCGAATTCGCCGATAGCCTCTGGATCTGATGTGTCTGTTTTAACAAGCCTCAACTCTGCCTCTCCAACATTTCGAGCATGTGCCGTCATCTGAACCTCAAGCTGCTCGAGCCTTTCCTTGATCAGCTTTGCTTGCACTTTCTTCGGGTCGTCATCATGACTCATGATACAGAAATGTGTTGGCTCGTCACCGAAAGGACTTGTCCTGGAGGGATCGCCAGAAATGGTGCCGCCTATATCAGTTTGACGGAAGTAAGTCAACCTAGGAGCAAATGCCAGTGGCAAAATCTTTGTCTCAGGATACCCTTCAGTGGGAAGAATCCAATCAAGCTCCACAAAGTCATCCATGTCAATCCAGCTGTAATCCTTGTCAGGTATCGTGAAGCGAGATAGGTCAGGTTTATCGTGTTGATCACTGGTGAGTGTAGAAAGGGTTCCCTTTTTGAGTGCTTCTGTGGTTGTGCCTTTCAAACTTGCTGAGACAGCCCGTAGATCCGCGTTGACAAGATCGAGTTGGGCGGCATGGATTTTAATGCCAGAGGTCCGCCCCTCCATATTCCTCCCTCGACCAAGAGTGTTGAACTCCTCTCGTCTTTGGTGCAGATCAAGCATGAAGCTATCAAAGCGAACCTTGAGCCCTGTTGCAGATACAGCATCTTCAGTATGGTCCTGAACATCCTTGTGCTTATAAATGTGGCTCAGGTACAAGGGTGCTAGAAGCAGGTTATATTTGACGGTGGCCAAGTGTCGTCCGAACTTCTTGCTGTTCTTTTCGCGGCCTGGGAAAAGATTACCTTGGCGAATGGGTAAGGACATGGGAGAACCAAACAGGCCCCACCACGCGAAGAAATGTGTGAAGAATCTTGGTGTTAAGTGGACGGTGTTGTAACTCCTAGATGGCTCCGTGTTCTCGGATAGCCAGTCACGATCAACTGGCGCACGCACGGCAATCGATAGATGAATATGACGACTTCTGAATCCTCGCATGGAGTCGTAAGGCAGGCCATCCCGAGGCTTGGCATATTGGGGGCTCTTGAGAACAATCTCGTAGTGAGGCTTGAACTCGAAACTCCTTGAGCCATTCTCGATTGCGCGTTCAAAAGTCAGACCAGACATCCATTGGACCTTGCCTGACAATTTCATGACCACCTTTTTGAATAGAGCGCCCGACTTGATTGCTTCGTCGGAGAGGACAGATAGAATGCCATCCTCCTTTCGGGCGCTATCTCGGATTTCGTGTGCATAGTCGGGCACGGCGAGCACATACTCGCCGCTATCCACGGTCATGAAACGTTTTGGGTCATCCTCCGCATTTATATTCCATCTGATGTTGTTTCTCCAGCACATAAGGAAACCAGCGCCATTGCCGGTAACTAAATAGGGGTCGCGGGTCCCTTTCAAGGCAAGATGCATATCGCCATCGCCCTTCCAAGCAACATGGATACGTGAGTGGAAAACCAAACGAAGTTTATCCCAAAACCCTACCCTCTCAGAAGGGTCGATCTGGGGCTTCGTGAACGATTCAACGACCATCATCATATCTTGTATGGCAGGCTGGTAGCAAGGTCCCCAGCTGATTCTGGTAGGGAGGGCGGTGTTGATATCCATATAGACATCTGAGAAGGACTTGATCGGGCCAATCGTCCGCCGAACTTCAATCGCAAAACTTCCCTTGTTCGGTGCCTCAGCGTTGGGGTTTTTGGGCGGGACGATGTTTACCTTGACCCTACGAGTGGACTCTGCACCTCGGTATTCCTCAGCAATGACAAGGTTGGTCCTCAGGGATACGGAACTGAGCCTGGGTGACTGCCCAGTTTTCAATGCTGGGATATGCAGCAGTGGCAAGGGATAGTCTCGCAAGTCCACGCGAGCCTCGTCCATTTCGATGGCAAGATGCATTGGTACTAGCAAACCGTACTTCATATCCTTGGGCATGCCCTTCCCAACTTTATGGAGGAAATCGGGGAGCTCCGATATTGGGAATGTCGGCTTATCAATGACAACGTGAAGATCAGTAATGGATGTGGACATGAGCGCAGGCCGCTGAGGAACTTCGAGGATCTCCTCTTCTTCGTCAACATCCTCCGGCACACTCGTGGCACCCCAGAAGGCTCGTCGTTGTTCTTTTGTTCTTCGCTGTGCTAAATCAACAGCTCTATCGATACGCTTCTTCCACGTCTGGGCATTGAACATGTCAAGATGATACCGAGCGTCCTCCTCGTTGATCTTGGCATGTCCACTTATACCGATCGTTTCGGCGTCTGGATTATAGCGAGGGAGTCTTGGCTTTGATGGGGCGTGGGTATTATTCGTGGATGACATGGCATCAGCACTGCGACTTCTGAACCATGAAGAGGATGAGGGCTGATCGCTCCTACCGCGTTGATAGAGAGATCTCGCGCGGCCTTTGTTGCTTCCTCTTCTCGATTCATCCTCGTGGATTCTGTTAATCTTCGCCTTGAATGCTTCGTCTCGTGCAATTCGTTGAATCTGCTCAATACGGCCAGTTCGGTATATCATGCCAAGTTTCCACTCAAATGCTCCATCCTCGAGTTCGAAAACAAAATTGCGGGCGCGAAGGGAAACCTTTGGCACACGTTTGGGCCCCTCTGGTTTCTTCTCTAGGATGTATTCATTGGTTCCTGTTTTGAAACGATGATGTAATTGTTGAACTGCCTTTGCGACGTTCACACAATTGTCCGTCACTTGGTTAACAATGACCTCGTGCGGCACAGCAATTCGCATGCTTTCGCTGAGGAAGTCAATCATCTTTTCTTCCACGACTCCAGTTGCCGTCTTTTGCTTCGTTTCGCGCAGATCTATTCTGCAGGATTTGATGCTGACCATTCTTGCCCATACGTGATGCATCCGAGGAGGTTGTACGTAGAGTCGAACAAGCCTGGACATCAAGTAGGGTGTTGACCATCTATGGCGGCCGCCTTCTAAGCCGAACACTTGCAACATCATGGTCGGCTCATGTGGCATTTCGGCCTTCACTTGGACAAGTGAAACCTTCAGATCTGCTGTTACCAATTCAGGGGTGATAGTGGAAAAGATATCGGCGTCGGTGAATGGACCTGGCGTTGAAGGCGGAGCGAGACGATTAGCGAGATGCGAAGTACTATATTGTTTGGCCCTGGGGATATCTTGTCCGGTCTTCATGAACGCCTTCCGAAGTATCATCGTGGCCACTCCTATAGAATAGTGTCGGTATAGAGAGTAGTGTAACATGATTGTCCGCACTGATGCTTGAATGTGAAACATGGGACCGTGTGCATCTGACGCTGCCGAAAAGCTAAGTTCCAGCCGGGGAACGGTCATGAACGGCTCAATCTCGAGAGACTCTGCACTTTCAATGATTTGGCCTTCCATGCCCCGAGCATAGAAAACAAGTCGACGACCATCACCGACTTTATGTTGTCTTAGTCTAGACCGTGAAGGCTGGGAAGTTGGTCCCATATCCGAGTCTGAGGTCGTAATAGACCTGCTGTGTGTTCGAGTTCTTGCAGGTCGTAGTTGTGGACCCTCTAACTTACTCTCTCTGTATTCCGCTGATAGAGCATCCCAATGGATAAAGACGCCTCTTGTATCATCCGAAATCTCATCATCAATGCCCGCAACCTCAACATTCAAGTCTGTAGCTTCGAACGACCAGTGTCTTAGCCATTGAGGAGCTGATCGAAGGAAATTGCCATGTTTGCTCGTTTTAGATGATGCTCGCTTCTCGGGTTCGACATCGATCCGTAGCTGCTTGACAATTTGCCGTAGCCCGTCCGTGATTTCAGGCCTGACCATACTGATGGAGAAGGATTGCACACTTCCCGAACCTTCGACAGAGACGTCGGGACTTGCAGTAAGATGGAGTTTCATATCAAAGACGTCAGTTGTGATCAGATTGAATCTCTCTCTTGAATGAGTCTGATAATATAAGTGATGATTTTGTAGGCGCAATGCGCCGTTAAGAGAATAATGCGAGTCTTCTACGAGAGAGTGAGACGATTCCATATCGAAAGATATGGATGATATGGAGGAGATGATTAAATCGAAGTCTTCCGGGTCTTCGGTCGTCCCCAGTGGCGTTAGCTTTATACGGACAACAGGCTCGTGCATTGTGATTTTGTTGATGGCCTTTGGGAGTAGTCGTGTGATGAGAAAGCGGCGTTTCTCTTGTAACGATTTTTGGGGTTTTGCTTTAGGTCGTAAGAGAGCAATGAGTATTGGTAAATGGCGAGGGTCAATATCGAGTGATGGAGAAGTAATAACCGAATTTGCGAATACAATATTGGTGTTTCGCTCCTCCACGCTGCGGTCTTGAGCTAGCTCCATGGTCTTTGACGGTAAAGTTGTGCGGACAGTCGTGGTTGCCATGGGCACATACAAAAGACGATCGGGCTCCCCACGTCCATCGTCCAGCCCTACTGAGATGGAGAGCGCTGCGGCCAGGGCTTCGTGGGCTATGTCGGTGGAAGGGAAGTACATCCGATGTGCTGCTGACTTGGGGTCTAACCGGTGTAAATCGATTCCAACCTCCTTCATCGCAGCAGTAAGTTGTAAAGTAGTTGAACCCGGTTTGACAGATTCAATGTTCTTAGTGAGGCCGAGAAAACTAACAGCAAATTGAACTTCCTTGATGCCTCGGAGAATAGAGCTGACGAACTCCTTTGAGTCGGACACTGTTCGGATCAAGTCATCGTCCTTGGAGCTTCCAGGCTCGACAGTTTCCTGGATAACATGGTCCAAGAACTCATCCATTGGATCTTCAATTATGTTTGGCTTCGACTCTTGCCGATATTGTTTGTATCGCAAGAGGCAGAAATTCATGTCGTCGTATGGGATGTGGAGCCTACCAAGCTTGAGCGCGAGCGACGCATCTCGCAAACCCTCCTTTGATTCATAAAGGAACCCGTGTATGTTCAGTTGAGCATGGTCCAGGACCTCCAAGGATTCCTTCCCATCGGCTGTAAAAAGAACACTGCGAATTGACAAAATCCACTCCGCCTGGCGTTCTCGTTTCCTCGATTCAGGCCTCTGAAAAAAATATCGAGCTCGATCTGCAGTCTTTGACCTTGTGTCAACAGCGAGGGTGAGGCTACCCAGCTGCAACTGTCCCACATCTACAACGTTAATTGTCGAGTTACTGGCGACAACATCCACCATACTCAGCCAGTTGACCTTGCGATGGAGCCTCTTGAATTTTTCCTTGATCTTGGTAAGTCGCTTCCAGGCTTCGCTTCGAGTATTTGGAGCAACACTTCGGCGGCGCTTGAGAGCCGGCTTGCTAGTAGAAGTTTCCTCGGCGCCATCGCTCTCTTCTTCCACCACGATGGTGGGAGGTTTGGCTCCCTCCAGCTCTTGAACATCAAATGTAACGACAAGGTCGGTCAGAACCAAGCTCAGCCATGTTGGCTGTGCAAATGTCGGCCGATGGACCGAAAATCCCAGCCCCCGAATTTCCACTCGACATCCATCTTTTGGTGTATAGGCGAGCCTCCGGAGAGACAAGTAGCCGATTCGCTGAATTGATATGCCGGTGACGATGCGGATCAGGGCAAAGAGAACAAACGAGAGGAGATAGAGCAGGACGAATATGCCGAAGACGAAGGTCGGGTTCAACAAAGCCATCTTGACACGGCCATGCGAAGCCGAGAGTTAGACTGCGACTTGAGCGCCGAGCTACCGTCCGTACACCAGCCCCTGCCTGGGGTGAAGATGACAGGACCCTACGCAGACTATGAGACCGACCGGTCCAGTGTCATCATGCCAACCAATTTGTTCGAGATCGCGCAAAGGGGTACGGGAGGCGAGAGGGGAGCCCGGTCTTCTCAATGACCCCCCTTTGATCCGACGGAGAGGCAGTCGTAATGGTGCCGACTCCGGACTATTGGGCGCAAGGAAGAATCGCACGGAAATCGGATGCAAGAAACGTCGTATGCGGATCGATCGGTCGACCTTATGGATTGCGCTTTGAAGGAATGTAATGGCGGTTTTCGATTCGGATGGAGATGAGCCGCCAAGTGCGCGTAGCTACGTGACGTCAGTTAGGATTTCTAATGCAGGATCCTTTTTGCAGCAGCGATGGAGACGAGGCGGCCAGGTGGGAAATGGAACAGAACAGGCAGGTTTAGGGCATTTGTACGGCTGAATGGATGTTGGCGCATCTTACCCAGGCAATTCAGATCAAGGACCCGAGAACGAAATTCCAGCACGAAAGACCGAATTGGCGATGGTGGAATGTTATTCCTTGTATTATTATATTCCGTAATCGTATAGCGGGAGAGGTCTCGCTACCTGGGTACCGACACAGCCGGCCTGTTAGATTAAGCCAACCTACCCTACGAGGATAAATGTGTTTGTGCTGTGCGGATCGCGAACCAGTGCTCAGTGCTGTGGATCGGTGCGGTGGCAGGGCAGGGGTCTGAGAACAATGGGAGCAAGTACCTCACCAGTACGTCCTCGATGTTCAACTAGCACCTGCTAAACCGACAGCGAAAGCGTTAGCGGGTGCACCATGGATCTTGCCTGCTTACAGTTGCGAGATAAGAGCACTAGGTGAACCAGCGGTACCTGCGGCAACCCCTCACACCCCAAGGGCCAAGTGCCCCGGTCAAGGACACGTTGGCGCAAAACCTCCTGATACAATTCGGCCCAGAATGTGCGTCTCATGATGGCTGTCCGGAATCTGACGGTTAGCGGTTGACCGCTTCTGTACCGTGGAGGGGGTTCAGACGACCAAATATGCAGCAATTAGCAAGCTGTCCGTCATTAAGGCACCTCCAGCTCCACTAACGCTGGGGCTGAGCCGAACTAGAAGTACCACAATGTTCCGCATATCACATTCATATCGGGAAAGAAGCTGGGAGAGGTTGCACAACGAATCAGCGCCCTTTGACCTTGGTTCAGTCGCTTCAGAGCTCACACCCCACACAAACTGGAAACACATAATTAAGACTCAGGAACACATCCTAACAAATCCTGATCCAACGCCTTTGAGCCACATGCTGTCGGCACCAAGCCAGATCTGGTCCAATAGGATCTGATTCCTGTTAGATTAAGGGTCTGTCAGAGAGCTGTAGGTTGCACGTACGCCTGCGATGTGCACATTAGGTATGTGACAGGATGGATGCACAGATCGGGAGAACAAGGAAGCTCTCACCCCGCCATTGAGCGCTACCTCGATGATAAGGCAGATCGAAGTTGGGATGCCTGCCTAGGTACCTACCTGCCTACCCTGCTCGGCGGAAAATGGTACGCTCTTCATCCACACCTACACCTTACCACAACCTGGGAGAGAGAGCCCACTTGCTGGAAGCCCTCCTAATACGTGTAGCATCCAGTTGGCATTATGCAGTTGGACGAAATGGTTACTCTGCATGCTTCCACCAATCAGGCTTGCCACTTATTTGTTACAGGATATTCAGCCAATGACAGAACAAGGAAGTCTGCACACATGCTTCCCAGCATAATTATTGGAGCACACTCTGTAATTACAGTATTGTGACATTTCTAATATACAGCACGCAGGTACACGTGATGGGCAATATTCAACAGATGCAGCCTATTTTGGTGGGAGGGTTATCCAACAAACCCAATGGATTATTTCTCGTTTTCTTGAGCCTGTCGCAGTTGTGCAATGCGCTCATCGATCAGGGCAATATCGGCGTCGACTCTCAACATCTTCTCCTCCATCATATCAACATATTCTCGGTCATTCAGCTTCTTCAATGGGCTCCACTTTGACCGTAGCCAGCTATCATCCTCGTCCTTTTCGGCCTTGCGACCTGAGAAGTGGTTGACAATAGCCTGGCCACTTGCAGTCATAATGCTACATAGTATCATAGAAGACGGGATCGTCCTCGTGCCTGCGCTTGATTTAGTACACGTTGCGGTAATCTTGTATGCACGCCACACTTACGTGTAAGACCCAGCAGTGCGCCCGGGGGAAGACCTGCAACTGCACTTGCTGTCACTTTATTGAGCGGAGTCAAGTTTTCTTCGCGACCCCATGCGGCACGAATGATCACTGTCCTCGAAACTGGGTTGAGGTTAGAATGAGAGACGCAAAGCTTATATCTTCAAGAGCAAACCATACACCAGTAGGAACTTCCTAGCGCAGCCCATTGTGTTCCAGTCATAATGCCACTCATCGCAGGGCTTGCATCTTGAAGAATGGCCGCGCCAATTCCGGTCATAGCTCCCGCAGCACCTAGTCGTGAATATGGTCTCAGTCAATGCTTCAATAGGAAACAGGAACAATGCTGGCATTGCAGTTCACTCACCACACCAGCCTCCCACTCGCAATGGTGGCACAATCAAATCAATGATTTCTTGCTGCATGAAGCCCCGTCGCCCAGTTGGCCTGGAAGGGCCGGGTGAGTTCTGGGTTTCATCTGCGACTCCCATGATGATGGCGCTGATCTGGGCGAGCGGATGGAATGGTGCCAAGGCAATCCAGGAAGCGTAGGAAGCGTGAATCTAGAGCTGAATATCAAGCATGGCGGCGTCCGTAGACAACCAATCTGCTAAATGAGAACGCCCAGACCGCAGAAAACGCACAGCATACCAGCAGTCCAGAGGGCACCCTTTGACGCGAAACCCACGAGGATATCCATATCAGTGCGAAGTTGCCTCGTCTGCAGGTGGAGCGCTCGAGGGCGGCAGGCCAATCACAGGTCCGTGTCGGCAGTCTGCGGTCTGTGGCAGTAGCGGAAGGAAAAGGACCAAAGAGCGACGCTAGTCCATTTAAGGACTGGTGCCTCCACACTCACACTCTCGCCGGTGAAAATTGAGGCAACCCTCATCAACGCCTCCAGAAGTATTTTTTCCAATTTACGCCGAGTAAATTTCAAACCCGGCCACCACAACCCCTCCCCAATAAAACCTCTGCTCGCCGGGGTTTGTGCAGTTACAACATCGAAATCGAAGCTTCATCCCAGTTCCAGCGCCGATTTTTCAGCCTGGTCCGCCCTCTCGTCGTCTCCCAGAGACCGATAACCCCGCCACATTCGCCCACATCGTGCCAGAGGAGGAGCAGGGCTCTCGACTCTGTCAACTTACGCGCTTCGGTCACGGAATCGTCGCGCGTGGCCGCTTAAACCGCAATCATGGGTAAATCTTTAGTCCTGGAACTGACAAGGCTATGTGGTCTTTGAATTATATGCTGACGAGGCATATTTCTCAGCGCCTAAAAAGAAGGACCAGCAGAAGATGTCCCTGGGGGACTTTCTGACTGATTCTGGTAAGTCAAGTCTTGCTTGTTTTTGTATCCGTTCTGCTTTCTTGCGACTGAACCCTAGGATGAGAACCATGTACTGACTCTTGAATAGGTTTCGGAGGAGGCTCTTGGGCTGACGAGGTCGAGGAGACCTATACTGGTACTTGATCCACACTGACAATTGCTTCCGGATATTCAGTCTAACTCCCTCTCAGGAACCCAGCAACTGCCCCCAACCGACCGACCTCGCTTCGGTGGCGGTATGTCTTCCTACCAGGACCGAGGTGAGAGCTCACATGAACCTGCCGTTTCGCTTCCTCGTTGACACCTTTTCCAGGATACTCGGTTCGCGAGAGCAACTTTCCGCAGACGCTCCCCGACAAGCCCCCCTACACCGCTCACCTTGGCAATCTCTCGTACGACGCCACGAGCGAGACCGTGACTGAATTTTTCGAGGGATGTGACGTCGCTAGTGTCCGTATCATCGAAGACCGCGAGCTCCAGCGCCCCAAGGGCTTCGGATACGTTGAGTTTGCTCATATCGATGGCCTCAAGAAGGCCCTCACTCTTGATGGCGAGTCATTCCAAGGACGAATGATCAAGATTAAGATCGCTGAACCCCGTATGTTTCCCCGTGCCGCCCGGTCTTTTGTGCAATTACTGACGACCCATTGAAGCTCGTGGTGGTAGTGGAGACCCCGGCCGAGGTGACTCCATCCGAGAGCTTGGAAACTGGACACGCAAGGGGCCTCTCGAGGACGCCCCGAACCGTGGTCCGCGCCAGCAGTCCGACTTTGGCGAGCGCCGTGGTTCCCGGGATCCCGCTGCAGAGAGCAAGCCCGCTCGCGATTTCACTTGGGAGCGTCGTGGACCCCTCGCACCCCTTCCTCAAGAAGAGAATGCACCAGATGCTGGTCGCCAGCGACCTGCCCCTGAAGGCCTTGGCGAACGCAGTGAGTCCTATAGAGGCAACCGCCGCCAGTCACCTGCCACCTGGGGTGAAGGTCGATCTGAAGGTTCTCGTCCACCCGCTCGTGATGGCGCTGAGCGTCCCGAGCGCCCTGAACGCCCTGAACGACCCGAGCGTGCCCCCACTGCTGCCGAGAAGGATATGCAGTGGCGTGACCGGATGCGCCCTGATGCGGCTGCGAAGTCCCCCGAGCCCTCTGAGGTCGCCTCGCCGACATCACCGACTGGCCCAGCTCCTGGAAGCCGACCGCGCCTGAACCTCAAAAAGCGAACCGTCGCTGAGGGTGATGCTCTGTCCCCAAGCGCGGGATCCGATTCTAAGGCCAGCCCCTTCGGAGCTGCCCGTCCTATTGATACAGCTACTCGCGAGAAGCAGGTCGAAGAGAAACGAGAGCAGCTTCTCCGTGAGAAGCGTGAGGCTGACGAGAAAGCCAAGGAGGAGCGTCGCCTGGCCAAGGAGGCTGCGGCCCAAGAGGCTCAGGAAGCTCAGGAGGCTCAGGAAGCTCAAGAGACTCAGGAGAGCGCTAAGGAGCCTGCAAGCGAAACTCAGGAGGAGAAGAAGGAAGAGGGAGCCGAACCATCTGAGCAGGACCAGAACGGAGCCATTAAAGAGACCAAGGTTCCCATCCGAACTCGCGAGCCTCGTGATTCCAAGGACGGCCAGACCACCCCCAAGACCAGAGCATTTGAGACTGGAAGCTGGAGATCTTCGGGTGATCGGCCACGAGGAGCCCCTAGCGGACCCCGAGGTGGTGGTCGTGGTGGTTCTGGTCGCGGCCCTCGTCGGGATGACACCCGTGGACCACGCTCCAACGGCCCTCCCAGCCAGCAGCAAGGCTCAGTTGCCGGCTCCGAACCTGCAACCCCTATCCAGGAGGACGATGGTTGGACGACCGTCCCCAAGAAGGGACGCCAGGGAAGACCTCTGGCATCTTAGGACAGCCAAGTTGTACATTTAACCTCCGTCCCCTCCCCATTCCTGGTTTCACGATAGAGATGATGTCGCAAGATACGACTGGCGATTTGTTACATGAAATGTTACGGCCGCCTCTTTCGACTATGCTCTGCTCGCCTATATAACGAGCACTTCTCCTCGCACACTGAATTAGTGTGGAACACGTACTCCTCCCCAGACGTCTCCCCCTGCGCCAAACGCAAGTGTCGCTCGTTATCTCCCTTTGTTCTAGACGGGTCAGAACCATGTCGGCGTTGTTTTTTACTATTTTATTTCTTTTATATGCACCTCCCGGCTCACAGGAGCCGGGAGAACCCCTCTCGAACCCCATCCCAAAAGTTGTTTTTCGGTGCCTTTGCCGTTTATGCGTAAAAAAGCGGAATGGCAAGTTATGCGTGAGACGGAGAAGGGGAGAGATACGGAATTGAATGAGAAGAGATGATTTTCATGAAAAAAGATTTATTTCCCCTTTTCTTCCTTTTACTTTTTCCCTTCTTTTCTTTCCTTATGCATTTTTCTTGAGTCATGTCATCTGAATGTGAATGATGAGGTCAACTGATACCATAAACCCCCCTCCTCGCACTCAACACTCTTCTCGTCCCCCTTTTTTCTACGTTACTTTAAAGAGAAACAGACCAAAAAAGAAAAGAAAAGAAAGATTGATTTAAAAAAAAAAAACTGGGAATTTTCTTCAAAGTCATCCTTTCGTATTGGTTTTTTTCTAGAGGTGCATATTGGCAATGTCTTTGGAGTAGGTGTAGAGGTTTGGGAATTTCTTTTAACTCGATAGGGTCTCGGAACTCTTTTTCATTTTCAATTCTTTCCAGGCATGTAGCCAGCGACTGTGATTTCATGATTGATGTGTAGGTACTGACAAATTCCCCCTTGTGGTGTTGAGGTTTCTGTGTTCCAGTCAGCTTTTACAAGTGCAGAGAGCCACACAGCGTGCAGTAATGTGCTTAGATTTAACGATGTGAAGGCTAGAAACAATAATAATAATAAAAACTCCCCGTAGACCTGATGACTCTACACCCATGTCCGTAGACTCCTAATACAACATTGAAACCATAAACCCATGTACGACGCTGAGACAAGAGTAGTCAATCCAATACTTCCACGCTGTTGGGCTCTACTCTACGCCCGTTTAGCACCCATATCGTCCATCCCGTAATCGTCGCCCAAATCATTGTCGGAGGCTCCGCTGACACTTCGGCCAATCCAGATGGCAGTGGCGGTCACCATGCCGCCGACGAGGAACCACCCTTCGAACCAGCTATCAGCAAACGAGGGGGACATGAGCGGACCCCCACGAGCAAGAGCGCCACCGACGACGCTCGAGACCTGGCCGGGGAGATGGCTGCGGAGCAGCAGAGCGGAAGAAATCACATAGGTGGCAGCGACCTGGCCGGCTGCTAGGGCCAGACTGGCCTGAGCGTGTCGGTGCAAGAACTTGGGTGTCCAGCGCGAAAATAGATGAAGTGTCTGAACGACACTGTTAGCACTGAGTAGAAGCATGACTCCGCTGAGGAGGAAGCTGATGGTGCGTGCCCAGGCAATCTGATCTAGCTTGGGATCCCAGTGTTTTGCCAGGACACCCAAAAAGCGGTTGATGGGGTCGGTGCTGGAGAAGCTGCTGGACGAAGGAGAGAATGAGCGCTGCAGAGTTGTCAACCCTGTTGCGAGGATGCGGTAGACGCAGTAAAAGCTAAACACATATGATGGTATCAGGAAGAGCTGGCCCATCCGCGTCGAGGCTCTCACGGCGGCGTTGCGCTGGTCCTTTAGGATGGACAGATTCGACGCCAGGTTATTCTCCATGGTTTCCAACGCCGCGATCTCTATTCGCAAGTTGCGCATCTCGGCCGCGTCGCCAGAACCTCCACGGATAGAGCCCATCATCTTGCCCACGAACCCGGACTTGGTCCCGCCCTGCGATGGCTCCGACGCCTTTTGCTCAAGCATCTGCAGCATGTGCCGCTTGGTGAGGAGCATCTCGTTGGCGGCCTCGAGCCCGGCCTGCTTGCGGTTTACGTCGCCATCGGTGATCGGTCTCTTCCTCCGGGCCGCCGCGTCGCTAAACGTATGCCACGGCGACGAGACGGAGGCGAATCCCGCCAGCAGCGCCATGAGGCTGATCCCGACGACCCCGATCCTCTCGAGGCACGCGCGTGTTATCCGCTCGCGGTAGGTATCCAGCTCCGCGTCCCTGACCTTGGCCTTGCCACCCGACGGGGCGTTGGGCACGACGCCCCCCAGGCTCCAGAAGACGAAGAGCCACCCGCCAAAGAGCATGAGCTGCAGTCCCCAGGCTCCGCGGGGGAGCTTCCCCTTGGCGGACCGCTGGAAGCTCTGACCCGTTGCGCTCACCAGCGACCGGCACTCGAGCCAGGGCACCAGAATAACCAGCAGGAACAGCAAAGTCGGCACCGTGACCTCGTGAGTCAGCTCCCCGGCCCGCCTGTCCACAATCTCCAGAATCTCGGCGAGGATCAGCGCCGCCAGCGTCGCAGCGAAGCCGACCGTGGCGCCAAACGTCATGATCGCCGCCTGCCGCTGCATGCTCTTGGCGCCGTGCTCGGCGTGCACCTGTCGCAAGGCCGCGGGGGCGTGCGAGGGCAGCACGTGGTCCTCGCCATCGCGGTCGTTGTGGGTGGTGCTGAGGCGCGGGTAGATGTGCCGAGCGGCGAGGGTGCTCGCCGCCGCGAAGACGGCGACGAAGGGCACCAGGGCGAGGATGGTCGTGAAGGTGATGGGCCTCGGTGGCGCCGCGCAGGCGTCTTTACCGCATCCTGAGAAGGGCCACATTTGGCGACGTTATTGTAGCTTCGACCGCCCCGACCTCTGTGGCCAGCGGGTTCGTCGTCTTATCGCGGAGAGAGAGGGGGGGGAGGAATGGGCAGCCGGTTGCGATCGTGGCCGGGCAAGCTTACGTCTTCGATCCGGTGTTTGTGGTTCGCGAGAGCATCGGACTCCAGGGGCCTGGACCCATCGAACTGCCAGGTGCTGAAAAATGCAGAAGAAGTTAAGAAGCGAGTGATGGTCGAATTAGCAATGAGCGATGTTACGAAAAGAATGAGCCGCTTCCGCGAGATGCGAGCATGGGATGGATGGTGCTGATGAGACACAAGGCCACGAACGGGAGCACAGGTTGCCCACAGCGGAAGTGGGGTGGAGACCTCCGAGACAACGAGGCCCAGAGCAGCAGAATGATACGTAAGTAATTACCTGTACTTTTCTGCGTCCAAGGGGCTGCAGGCCTAGCTATCCCAAACCCCTTATTGTTTACACCAATAGTTGCTTACACCAATAGAAGGAGTACCTCAGTAGCGAGCTTTTTAATGCCGGCCGGTTCCGTCCCTGTGAACGGTCAACGGCGCTATTGAATCAGTTTTACTGCTAGTGATGCTGCAAATAGCCCTAAAATAGTCGCAAAATATTGGAGGCGAGATGAAAGAAAAGAAAGAAAAGAAAAAGAAAAAAGAAGAAAGATCAATTAGAGAATGAGATGGAAATATTACATACATGTCCGTCTGCAGGCAGCTACTGCCCTTTAGAAGTTACTAAAAGCCAGCTTGATTGCAAATGGCTTGCAGCTATTTGGCCCAGCATCATTACGCATAACCACAGACTGGTAATCACAGAAGCTCTACCTGGGAAATTTAAAAATGTCTATTTGTTCATGGAGTTGAATTGTCTGCATGGTATTTGAAACGCGCAAGGTATCTAGATAGCTAGAGTAGAGTAGAGATGAGCTGATACATGACTTGGCGAGATCCATGTTCAAGCTCGTGGATGCAAGCTACCCCAAACTTCAAACGGCACCTGCACCTGCCTAGTGCTTTGCTGCAAGTTTTTCAAGAGATGAAGAGACTCGCAGTTGTGTTTTGTGTTGGGATGCAGCTGCAACATTGCGAAGCGAGCAGGAAGTAGCGATTGAGCCCCTGTTGGAGTAGGGTGATGCTCTCAAGCAAGAGTCATGGATTCTCATCCTAGATCTCACATCATCAGGATAGAGGTCATACAACGCCTTTTTCAAGGCGGACTTTTCCGGTTGGCTCCCTGATGCTGTGTTTGCATGACCTTTTCTAGCACCGGATTCTAAGCTTGCAGCTGCTTGGCTCATAAAATTGAATGATGCTTTGAATGCTAGCAAACGCTATGTCTTCCCGCTTAGTAGCCTTGCAATTGAAGGATACAACGCCAAATCGCCAGAATAAAAAAGACTCGTGAGCTCATATCTGAATACCTATGTCACAAGGGCTTCATTGAACCCACTTGGACAATAAATATTCCTGCCAAAAATCCTACAAATCCCAGCCATGCTTTACGGATGGCTGGTAGACGTCCGTTATGAAGCGGTCTTCTGATTTGAAGTGTCATCGTCGGAGTCCTCATCCTCTTCGACACGCATCTTCAAAGCAGCAGCCTCTCCCACCTCCATCTTGTGGAGCTGCTCCAGCTTCTGTTGGTTCAGCGCCTGCTTCCCATCCATGACCTCGAATTCGGCCTCTCCCTCGTCATCCTCCGTATCGCTGCTATCGCTTCCAGGGCTGGTGGGCGCTTGGACGAGAGTGTCATCATCCCCCCCCGGCCCACCAGTTGCTTGGACAGGTGTGCGTGATCTCGGTGTGTGGTTGATAGGTTTAATTGTTGGATCGAAGGCAGCTGGCAGGCCCAGTACTTTGGCCACTTGATGGGCCTCCTCGTCGGCAGAGATTTGGGTTTCCAGCTCGTAAGTGCTACTTGCTTCGCTGTCTGCCTCATGTTTCCCATGCGTGGCTGACAGCATGGTGACATAGGTTTGTCGCGCTGAATCATTCGCCCGCTTCGTCTTCTTCTTGATCCGTTTTTCATTTGGCCGAACAACGACGACGGGGACTGGGGAGTACTGCAGGCAGTATTTCGAGAAAGAATTGCGTGTGTTGACCAATCCTTGCAAGCCACCGAGAGAACGGCCCCTCGTGCCCACCACAAGCATAGCAGGCTGGTGCATCTGTATCTGTAAAAAGGGGGAAAACCTTGTAAGTACTTGATAATTTCACGTAGACAAGGACGGTTATTGCTGCCTCCTTCGGCTACTCACCAGCTTCTGAAATGTTCCATGGAGCTTCCCCATTGCGAATTCCAAAACAAAGCTCAGAGCCTTGCTCGCTGTATTTTTCGCGACTATCGCCTTCATGATCGCCGTGGCTTCGTCGACATATTGTTTATCGTTGACCCGGATTTCCTTTTCCACCACGCGCACGCAAACCACCTCGTCGCCGTCGTCCACGAGCTCATCCAACAGCCACTGGAGCGCGTAGTCGGAATAGGCATGCTCGTCTACCCCGACCATGAAGGTCCGTGACCTTCGCCCAGCGCGATAGCCTTTATGTTTGACATTGAGGGTCAATGACGGTGTGTTGTTCTTGGTCGCCTCGCCGAGCGGCAGATTGTCGAATGCGACATGGTTTTGAAACCTGTCATTGGACGGCACCGTTAGAGAGGCCATTTCCGGGAGGCAGAGGGGCGCACAAATCACAAGGGGGTTCGGCAGGAACGCAGTGGTTCTGAGACAACAAGAAAGAATGCGGGCAGTAGGGTTCAAGAATTGGCGAGGAGGTAGTGGCAGCCCAATCTAATAAGGTACAGGTATGATGCAGGTGGGAGATGTCATACTGGGCGGGGTTTATGGACGGCTTAGGACCAGGGCGAAATTGACTTTGGCAGGCTGTGTTGGTCACTGGGCCGAGCTCATTCCAGTGCTGATTCTAGCCCGACTCCTTCGCCTGCAGGCTTCGGGCGTCTGGGTCGGGGAGAGCGATGACAGCGGGGTAATAAGGTGAAAAGCGAAAAGCAACGGGTAAATGATGGTCGTGGCAGTGGGGCTGAGCCACGATAGCCGTCACCTTTAAGTGTTGGAGGAATGCTCTAAAGAGGATGGGCAGGGGCGGGTAAGAAGGTGGGGAAGTCGAGTCGAGTCGGAGAAGGATGTTTTGGAGAGCATCAACTCAAGACCCAACACTGACAGAGGATGTTGCGGCGAACCACGACGAACCGTCACGCCTTCATCGCGCAATCGAAATCGACGATGTCGCTTCCTGGGAACGGGAGCGGGCGTTGATGGTTTCAGCATAGTAGCGCATTAGGTTGTGCAATTGGACAACCCTTGGCGTGGTCCAACCTGAGCTGACCACTAATTGAAGCGCAACCACCGCTCTCAATGACAATGTCACAGACGCAGCTGTCCTTCCCACTCGGGATAACAGACAGACTGCAGGGACATAGATAACAATCATTGGTCGCAAAAAAATGGGCAAAAGTGCGCAATGCCACTTACCGCACTGGTTGGGGCGAGGCCGCTCGGATTCTCGGCCTGCTCATCCTTTTCTCTGTCCCCTGCGGCAGCGAGGGGTTACGAGGAAGTCGGATCGTGATGGAAGTCCCAGAGGACTTTCTGCTGATGCCGTTGATATTTCCTTGCCATTCCTCTGGCGGTGAGACGGGGCTGGAATCTCCTGGGTTCACAGTCGAGAGTCTGGGCGAGAAGGAAGCTGCTGACGATTTTCGGTCTGACAAGTCGACGCTATCGGTTGTCATTGCGCTCGTCGTCGACCCCCCGGCATTGTGATCTGGGAAATACTCGTTTTTGGATGAGCCAGCTGGGACAACCGTCTTTGGAGAAACATCACTGGATTCGTCTTTCTGGATCGATGAGCCCGGCTCCATCATCCCTCTCCAACCCACTCTCTAAAGGGGTTAATTGCTGGATCTCGGAACACGCAACTGCCCGATGAATGCCTCTAAACCGAGGCAATGGGCTGCGGAATCTGGCAGGTGACGGCAACGGGTTCCCTAAGGTAGTACAGCTGCTGGTCAACCGGGCACCGCGTGCGATGGGTTCGTGTTCAACTAATGGGCGAAACCTTGCTTCCTCTCAGGCACTGGTGAGAAATGAAGAAGCGGACAAGAGGCGATAAAATAAAAGTTGGGTGATGTCAGAAAGCCACGCTGGAAGCCAAAAACCGGGAATGGTGTGATTAAAGGGCAGGAAGGATGCCCGACACCAGAGCACGCAGAGGCCAGGCTGACGACGTAGTAGTCGTAGCTGTAATGGTGCGTATAGTTTGATGGCTGGATAAGCTGCCGCAAGCGCAGGCACCGTCACACTGGAAGGACAGGGGTCGTTCCGTTTGATGACAAGGACGATTGGGCAGAGAGATAGAGGCCCAGCTAATAATGGTGGGAGATTTAATCAAAGAGAACGACACTAGGTTGGCGGCCAAGACCAGTCGGCAAGGCCAGGGCAAAAATTATATAAAATATGACGGGCCAGGCCACCAAAGGTACGTCTCTGATCAACAGGGTGGCAAGTCAGACGCACTGATAAAGTGAGCCTTCTAACAGGCTGAAGGGACCCTGCTGCCGTGCTGCAATGCAAGGCAGGAAGCCGCGCGATGTTCGGTCAAGGCCCGGCAGGTCCAGGGTTCCGCGGAACCAGGGGGTCTGACTTGACCGTTTGGTTGGACTCGATTACGGTGCAGCACGTCCAGAGATCAGAACACGGGGAGAGGCGGCGATGTCGATTCGCTGGATCGACGTGGGTGAATCGCGGAGAGCCACTGATGAGCCAATGACGGTGAAGTTAGAAACAGGCAAGGCAGGATAAAAAGCAAAGAAAACGGGAACAAACGTCGTGCTTTTCCGGCTGGTTTCAACTTGTGCCGCGCTACTGTAGTGTTTGCCTTGCTCTGTGCAGGGAGCTGCCCAGTGGCGGGTCGTTTGGGCTGTGGGTTGAGTCTGGCGGGAACGACGGGAGCTTCCTCCTCGATAAAGATGGGGTTGGAAGAGGAGCCCACCAACAGCTCTTGGAAAGGGCTACCCGGGCTCTTAAATCCAGCAAAATCCGCCCTGTGCCCTGATGGCCATGAGCTTCGACTGGTGCTGGCAGCTGGAGGTTGTCACTTGGAAACACGTGCGTGTCGCCTGAGAATGGCTAGAGGGTGGCGGCAAGGATCTTCACCTTTGGCGCGGATTCCTCTTGATAGTACTAGTGAGAAGCTGCGTCTGAGGCGGGACGAAGCGGAAAAAGCAGCAACTCTTGGGGTTGCAGTCAGAAGAGCTTACCCGATGCCTCCTACCTGACTGGCTCCCAGCCGTCACCAGCTGCAGCTGATTATCTGCCAGCCAGCTCCCTCGGCGATCTGGCTCCTACGGATCTGATTATCTCTGTAAGCTTGGTCGTGTGTGTGCATGCGGGCGTGATAACGATACGCTCCCCAACCCCTAAACCTTATTGCCGTCATTCTCTCGGAACGGTTACAACGTTGGGAGAGACAAGTTCCGCAATCCCCATCCCCATCCCCCTCACAAACCTCCACCGCTCTCTGCTGCTTCCTCCTAGCCGCAGCTCTAGGGCCCTCGATCCGCATCGCCAAGGTTACCTTGCCCCTACGCAGTGACGCCGCCAAGACACCCAAGCAACCATCACCAATGGCCTGCTGTTGATCAGCTTACACATTATGTACTTGCATAACCAGGCAGAAGGAGCACAGATGATGCACGTCGTAGGCTCATACCGCCCAAGCGAGTTCTGTGAGATCCACTGCTGCTGGCTTCCTGTATCCACCAGGGCTGGGCGAAGGGAGCTGTGAATACGACCGCTGGGTTTTCATTCGCAGCTTCGCGTTCTGACGTACGTACCACTCAGGCTCCGAGTAAGGTTAATTACAAAGTTATAGGCTAACGGCTACTTAGATTTCTGCATTTTCTGTACCCTTAGCCTACCTACATGAAACCTCGACGGATACAACGGCACAAAAAAAAAATACTGAAGAATCGGGCTCTCGCTCCACCGCCAAAACTAATGAATCAGTCCACTGATTCTCTTGGTTCGTACGACACCTCGCCTTACCCAACATCCATCGGGTGAGCGACACCAGCCCTTGCCATGGGGACTACCTAGCATGTGCGTTGGGCCCAATCCTACGAGAGAGGCCGCGCCCCGTCATTCCCCCCATCACGCGGATGGGAGGGGATTCCTTAGCGCAGTACGGCTGAGTGTGTGCTGCTGGAGGCCTGGCACATCCACGAAGATCCCATCTCCCGAAGCAGAATGAGGCAATCTCGAAGATTTTCTCAGTCCCCTGTAGCCACATGCCAGGAGATTTGACATCAAGCCAAGTTAGCAGGAAAGGCGGGGATGTGGACACTCCCTTACGAAGGGGACCCAGCAGCGGCTATTAAAAGAAGGCAAGGGCAATTTAATTATCTTCTGCAAATCGGTGCCCAGGGAGATGGTCACGAGATGCCTTGAAGAAATTTTGTGTGGATGCGATGCGAGGTGCTCAATATCGCGGAGTCAATGACCCAAGAGCCGTTGGCGGCCTCTGCATGCACTTACATCCTCCTACTGCCCATCCTGCAGTGTTGTCTCACATGAGAACAACCTTAACCTCATTCCGGCAAGGACCGCCCCCATCTTGTGAAGGGAGGGTTCAGGCGGCTGCAGCCGTGAATGGTGATCAGATGTGGGTGACACAAAACATGGCAAATCAGCGCGAGTCTATTCCGCACAAAAAAATTGGCAAATATGGAACATGGTATACAATGAAGCATGAATACCTATAATGCACAATACGCAGAAAATAGTGAAAGATTTCCTATTCCGATATTCTATAGCGTGAATTGAAGAGTTGCGAATCCATAACTGACTTATCATAAGTCGAGCGTAACGTCGTGACATGCAAAGCTCTTTGTTACCCACTGAGTGACCTACGTCTGTCTCAGTGTTTAGCTGACTACTAACTTACCTGCATGAGGTGTAGAAGATTGGCCTTTTTGGGTTGCAAATCTTCATCAGCAGGGCACGAATAGACCGGTGTGAAGTAAACATTCTAGTTTTTTTTTTCTTTACCAGAAAGTAAGACAGGAAGCTAATGGTTTTGTTTCTGCCCAAGGTGGTCATGTTTCGGGAAGCGACGGCAGCCATATCATAGCGTTGACGCCGCTGATCTTGGCCGCACTACAATCGTCCTGCCATGAAAAAGGGAGTCCTTTGCTCCCATATTTGGGACACCTGCCAGACCCCTTGTGCAATCTACATAACCGTGACTCTCAGGTAATGCTCAATTTGTAAATTATTTCAGTCCCTGCAAAGGTGATCCTGGACCTCTGTAACACACTAGGTAGTTCCCGTGCGCCCTTCGAGGCCCTCAACTCCGTGACGCCAATGCCATGCGACCTGCCTACCGGCCTGCATATCTACCGAGTCTCCTTTTGTTTTGCTCATCTCATTTCATAAGTGGCACATCTAATCTTGCTCGTCTTACAGAGCACAGGCATCTGCCTTAGTTGTATGTGCGGGACAGGTTGCGGAGATACCAGTCCACAAGCTTTCTTCCAACCTTCGCCTCAGAGATGTGAATCAGATCCTATTTCCAATTGTTAGCATGAAATGTACTTGATCAAGAACTACACGGGGTTAAAGAGTGGTACATACACCTTGCATGGCGTAATCAAGGTCACTGACGTTGACCAGCTCGCCCTCCAAGAGGCGCTGGTCCGCCCATCGCAGCTGCTTCGTGCGCTGCTTCGTGACCAAGAGCCAAGCTCGGAGCTCCTCGGGTGTTACCTCGAGGAAGCCGGCGAGCTTGTTAAGGTCCATCGTTGTGTAGAGTCTCAGGTAAGACTTGATGGTAGGGCTCCACATGTTGGTCTTGACTTCGTCCATGAAGACGGCAAGGTGGTGCTCAACAGGGTCCACGTTGGACTCCGGGTTGTCAAAGTCAGGAGGAACTGGGGAGATGAACTTGGGGCAGGCGGCGCGGAAGAGCTCCTCGAAGATGGGGAGCGACTCGGGGCCACCGCGCTGCAGCTTCAGGAGCTGGTCGCCGTACTTCTCACGAAGGGCGCTGTGGATGGTATCATCCAGCCTGGTGGGGTGGAATGACACGCAAATGGCGATCAGAGCGTACATCTGCTCGTTCTTCTTGGTGATGGAATCATACTGAGCGTTCTTCTGGAAGTTCTTGGTCCTCGAGACGTAGATGAGGATGTGGCTGAACATGCGGATGGCATCAGCGTATCGGTGCATCATCATGTAGGAGAAGCCCACGTAGTAGTAGGTGGTAAAGTGAGCAGCCATGACGCGAGCGAACATGGCCTTCTTGTTCAGCTCGATGTCGTCGAGAGTCTTAAGGGCGAGGCTGAAGTCTCCGAGGAGGGTGTGCACGCGCAGCAGCCCGATGATGGAGAAGTATCCCAGCATGCGGTACAGGTTCTTAGATCCATACTCGCCGGCGACGGCCATGGGATCCTCCCCACGCTTCATGGCGGCCAGCTGCTCGGTGATCTGCGAGCGCTGAATGAGAGAGTAGAGAACATTAAGCACGCTGTAGCATCCCCACGTGTTGGGGTTTTCGCGGAGGATCTGGATCTCCTCCTCGTTCGAGGCCTGTCGTGCGATGCGGGATCGGTAAGAGGAGAAAGAGTTGAACTGGTAAATGAACTCGTCGATGACATCCCATGCCCAGTAGTACTGCAAGTAAAAATTAGTTATCTGGTGGATAAGACACGCGCGCTGGGTTTGGAACGCACAGATGGAGGCTCCAACTCAATGGGTCCCTCAGAGTTGAGAATGTAGTGGAACAGGCTGCAGTACTGGTCGTAGCTCTGGAACTTGACTTCAAGGGGAGCCGAAAAATCGAGAGGTTGAGCAGCCTGAACAA